AAAAAATCAGCCGGGTGTGGTAGTGCACGCCTGTAGTTCCAGCTACTTGGAAGGCTGAGGCGGAAGGATCGCCGGAACCCAACAGGTCGAAGCTGCAGTGGCTGGGAGCGGCTACTGCACTCCAGTCTGGGCGACAGTGAGACTCCAACCAAAAAAAAAAAAAAAAAAATTAAGTAGCTGCCTGACCTTTTGCCAGCCCCTGTGGAGAAATCTAGCCCCTAGAGACAGGCGATGCCTGGCTTATCTCAATTTCCCTTGTCTCTAGGGTGACAGTTTCAAGCCCGCTGCTACCACCCCACAGGACCTCTTGATGCCTGAAAATTGCTTATCAGCCAGATTGTTTGGCTGTAGAAAATAAGGACACATGTACAAACTTAATTTGGGATGGATTCAGACTTTTTTCTCTCTGGTAACAACAATTTCTGTTCTCCCTCCCATTCAGAATATCTTGTGAATGTATTGTTAATCTTGTGAAATTTTTACTTTATAACAATTTGTTGGAAGAGTATGTTGGTATATTCTGATTGTACTGGAAAGGGGACTGCCTGTGTTATTTTAGTCTCAACATCTTTTGTGTCTCTAAAGGTTACAAGAGCTCACTGAGTATTGTTTTTCCTCAGATTTCCAAATAAATGTTATGTGAGAGAAAAAGAAATTTTGGGTGAAATTAGGGAACTAGAAATTTCCTAGGTTTTGGAGACCTTTGATTATTTGGATTAGCCTTTTTTTTTTTTTTTTGGGAAAGGCCAGTAAGAGATTACAAAAGCGAAAAAGAAGCTCAGAGAAGGATAAAGAAGGCAGAAGAGGGGCACGGTACTGTCTTCTGTCACTTGTCTCCTCGTATTTGAAGAAATATGTGACATGCATCCGTTGAGATTCCCTGTAGGCTTCATAGAGCTCTAAGTACAATATGTTGCATCCTATCAGGGTCTGCCAGAGAGTGGGCTGGCTGTTAGACCACCAAACAGAGGACAAGCCAGGTGATTCCACAAAAGCAGTTATCTGTAGAATAGTGGTTGATTTCTTCTCCTGCCAAATGTTCACTTTGCCAGATACCCTCAACCCCTGCCTTGGCCTTAAGTTGATCCGTGTTTTCTTTGACTTTACTGATTCACCTTGTTTATACAAGCTGTCTTATCTAGTAGTGTTGAGTCACCGTTATATTTATTGCCTACACCTACTTATTATAAAAAGCTTCTGAATTTCTGCCCTGGGAACAGAATTCTTTGCCGACTTGAGAAACAGCTTTTAATACAGACCACCTAAACCCATGAGTGATTTGCTAATTCTTCAGCATGGTAACAACCAAACATTTTTTATTTTTGTGAATCCCCTCTCCCTTCTTTTTTTTTTTTTTTTAATTCAGCTTTCATTTTGAAAAACTTTTGTAGAGAATGTTTTGATAACCTTTGATCATTTGTCATATCCAAGGTTGGTGTAAAATCAACATTTTAATCAAGATTTCAACATTACTAATATAAATTTAGTCCTTGTTGCTGACCTTAATCACTTACATTTAAAAGTTTAATATGCAGTTGTTAAGTCTGTATTGTATTGATTGACCCACTTTTGTGTGAGTTATTTAAATATTTGCTTGATTGTAGGAAATCTCCACCGAACCAGCAGTGTTCCTGAGTATGTCTACAACTTACACTTGGTTGAGAATGATTTTGTTGGTGGACGTTCCTCTGTTCCTAAATCCTATGACATGCTAAAGGTAGGATATCAAAGAAAGTAACTCTCTTGATCAGATTACCAGGAAAACACTTTCAAATTTCCTGAGATGATTTTTGGATGTTTACAATTCCCAAGTATTATCATTTCCTAAATGAATTTTGAGAACATTGATTCTGTGAGGACTCCATAGAAACTGGGGCCTTTAAACAGTCTTACATCCTAGTCCAAATAAATATGACTCAAGTTAATCAAGTCTTGGTTTTTAAAAAGGCTTTGCCCTGAAAGGGGCCAACTTCTCTTCTGATTCAGAGAAAGGGACATTCTTGTATAATAGTCCCGGAGTAATTAGTCTTCAACAAAGATGAAAACTGATTTCTGCCTCATTAAAATGTTATTTCTCTTGTGTGCAGGCTGGCACAACTGCCACTTACGAAAGTCGCTGGGGGAGAGGAACAGCACACTACAGTTCACAGAAGTCAGTGGAAGAAAGATCCTTGAGGCAGCCTCTGAGGAGACTCGAGATTTCTCCAGACAGCAGCCCCGAGAGGGCTCATTATGCCCACAGCGAATACCAGTACAGCCAGAGAAGCCAGGCTGGGCCCACCCTGCGGCACCAAGAAAGCAGGCGGGCCACCCTCCTCATGCCACCGAGATATGCTCGCTCAGAAATCGTGGGGCTGAGCCACGGTGTGGCTGCAAGCAGGCAGCGCCACTATGACACTTACCACAGACGGTACCAGTATGAGTCTGTTAATGATAGTGTCTTTGACGGCGTCCCTGCCAACCCACCTGTGCTCACGTACCCCAGGCCAGGGACCAGTCACAGCATGGGCAACCTCCTGGAGAAAGAGAACTACCTGACTACAGGGCCTGCCGCCGGGCAGGTCAGGCCGCTGGTGCCCCTGCAGCCTGTCACCCAGAACAGGGCTTCCCGGTCCTCCTGGCATCAGAGCTCCTTCCACAGCACCCGTACCCTGAGGGAAGGCGGGCCCAGTGTCGTGGATTCCAGCGGGAGGAGAACACATATGACCATTGGCCAGGTGGCAGCAGGGGCAAGCGGGAATATGCTGTCGGAGAGAAGCACTTTCACCGACTCCCAGCTCGGGTGAGTCCCCCTCTGAATCTGCAGCTCGGGCAGTGCCAGCACATTCTGTTCCCACAGCCCTGACAGCATGAGCTGGCACTTCTGGGGCTGGAGAGAAAGCCTTCCAGAGATAAGTGATTAAAATAATGACTTTTTAGGCAGCTGCCTAATTGACAGATCAGCCTCTTTACCTCAGGGACAGGGGCCAAGCTACCTGCTCACATGGCAGCTTTGTGGGGAAATGTGACATTTAGTCCATCTGTTCCAGATTAGATGGTGGCTAAAGAGACCCTAGCACTCCGCTATGTGAAATTCTGTCTAAAGGAGAGCAGACTTCAAGGTAGAACAAAAAATGATCATTGCATGTGCATTTTTAAAATCATTTCTTGAAATAAAGAAAAAGGCAAAAATGCTTATTCTTAGTGCTAAGCGTGAACTTCAAAAGCGGTTTTGATAACTGTTACCATAAAAAGCCTAGGCCAGGCATGGTGGCTGACACCTGTAATCCTAACACTTTAGGAGACTGAGGAAAGAGGATTGCTTGAGCCCAGGAGTATGAGACCATCTTGGGCAACATAACAAGACCTCGTCTCTACAACAACAAAAATTAGCCAAGTGTGGTAGTACACACTTGTAGTTCTAGGTACTTGGGAGGCTAAAGTGGGAGGATCGTCTGAGCCCAGGAGATTGAGGCTTTGGTAAGCCATGATCTTATCTGTGCAATACAGCTGGGCAACAGAGTGAAACCCTGACTCAAAATAAATAAATAAAAAGTCTATGAGAGCTGAGGGAAAACAACTGATTTTTAGATGTCTCTTTTTTTCTTTTGATACTAGGTACCTTTACTTTTTGATTTCCAGTGTCAGTGATTTGGAGGATATTTTTTGGCAATATTGAATAATAAAAACAATTGAATTTTTTTTTTTTTTGAGTTGGAATCTCACTCTGTCACTCAGACTAGAGTGCAGTGGCACGCTCCCAGCCACTGCAGCCTCGACCTACTGGGCTCCGGCGATCCTTTTGCCTCAGCCTTCCAA